TGGCAAGACTTCGGCAAGTAGGTTCATTTCCATTTCAATTTTAGCCATATCCTCAAATGGATAAATTGCCTCAGCTATTATCAGAAGAAGTTGCCCTGGACTTGAGAATGACACAATTTCCAGGGAGTTCCTGTCTTTTGGAAGGTCCTAAACTGTAAGACTCTAGCTAAGATGGGAAATCCTAACATAATTCAGGATTTTGACTCCATCCCAATGCCTGAAGGACCACCACATACAACCAGTTCTAGGCTCACAGGGCTGTTATCGTCTGTTTTGCTTCTAATAAGCAAGGTAAGCAAAGACCCTCACAGTTCCCACTCCTAAATCCGGTGAAGCAGCAAGAAAAGAGTTCTTGTCATCCCCACAAGGCGCTTTAAAAAAAAAAAATCAACATCCATGTGAATCGAGTAACTTGCTGAATGATTCATGGCTGTCATATCTGAACAAAAAATTACCCTGCCAATATGCAGAATAAAAAAATATAAAAATTACGCTGCAGATGATTAGAGCAAAATGCATGAGTATTATGGATTCTGAACCTTAATGGATGACAGACTTGCCGCATCTCCTTAACATTGGGAGAAAAAAAAAAATCTCTTTGGTGGCATAGCACCAGCCTTTGCAAAGAGGGTAAAAATAACATGCAGCACAAGAGACAGGAATCCAGCACATTAGGTAATCTGTGATGAGAACTCTACGAATAAAGCAGATAATACCAAACTAGTTAACTAAAAAATCCCCAACAAAACAGCCATTTACAGATCAAAAGAATACCTGCCTATGTGTTTCAAATTAAAAGCCAACTGGAATGACAAGTATTTGCCATTTTAAAATAAGCAAAGAACCAGATACACAAGATGATCTGGATTTGCCCACCCTCTTAGACACATTGGGTTTTAACATTTACAGAGTGCTGAAGCAAACGCCCCACTGCTTTTATCTGGATTTGATGTTGTATTTGGCACAAAACTTTCATGTTCAGAAAGAGACTTGGCTTGACAGCAGATGGAGTATTCCATTAAAACATGAGTGGCAACATGTGCCCACCCTCCCAGTCAAAAGCAGAAAACCACTTCGCAGGAATATCAGCCTGTAGATCACAACATGCTCACACCAAGCTTACCCACAAAGTATTTTTTTCCTTACTCTTGTCCCAAACTGTTCTTCTTGATAAGTAAATTCTGTAACTAAAAAACTTTTAAAATAATAAAAAAATTAAATAACAAAACAAAACAAAACTCCCCAGCCTCAAGAATTCATTTATCCAGAAAATTGTAGGGAAACACTAACAGCAAGAAGTGACAATTTCAAGTTGAGGGTAGTTAGAAGAAGAGAAGCTTCGTTCTCTTTATAAAAAAAGATATGTGGTAATATTAAAAAAAAAAAAAAAGAGAGAGAGAAAAACCAGAGGGTACATTAATTATGATGGTTCTGTGGTTCTCCTGGATTTCAATTAGAAACCACTTTATTTACAGCTCTTGGCTCAGCAGCAGGCAGCCCAAGGAGAACATTTTTTATGGTGCAGCTTCTAATGCAAATAAAAGTAAAGGCAACCCTAGAGTGGTTTGTGAACTTATATAATGAGACAGGAAACAAATGGTACAAGTGAATAATGATCATGTCAAATGCATTTAGAAAGACCACAGGTCTAAAATAATAAATTCTCTGACAAGTACATTTACCTCAAAGAACTATCTAACAAAGTTCTTTTTTCCCCTACAAATATATAAACACTTTCTCCTAAGATCTCATTTTAATAATCATTTAAATCTACATTCCACAAAAATACAAAGTTGAACCCATTCTCTCCACTCCCAAAACAAGAAGTGATCACTAGAGATAAAAATGTGTCTTTTCTGCTCAGAAAGATCACATTTACTGACTTCAATCAGACTGAAGAACAGTTCTAAGAGGCAAAGTTGGGGTCTGCCCAGGCACCCCTTCTGCACTGTTTGCAGCAGCAGCAGCATACAGGGAGGTGAAAGGAAGTGTAGGGAAACCCCTGTGGTTTCTCCCACAAAATCCTTATGTGGCAGAAACTAGTGCACACAAGCAGGCAACATGCAACTGAATTCCCCCCAAAAATGGCTGAAATGTCTCCCTGAAACCAGGGCAGGTTCACCAAGGACTGACCTCACGTGGTCAAGCCACCAACTCAACTTTGTCACCACAACCCTTTCAGTGACAGGGCTGAGGTGCAGCTCCTCACAGATGGCACCACTCAACAGCCCAGGCTGGAGTGACACCACCCTCACCCTTCTACCCTTCAGTTCACAGTCTGCAGCCAGAAACAACCAACCCCAGTAATGAACAGATCTGCCTGCTCAGTAAAAGGGCTCACACAGGCTCAGACCACATTATTTCTCCCAGTTTCCCCTTCACAGAAGACCTCATCCAGCAGCCTCGTCCAACTTCTTATGCTTTTATTCAAAACGGAATATCACAGAGGAAAATTCCTACAGTCATTTCTAATCTAATTTTTAAAATGGAAACAAAATAAATTTTGCCTGGTTTAACAGCACTTTTCCAAATTCTGCCAGATAAAGAATCTTCCATCTTTTCAATCTGACAAGGTTGAGACAAACACTTGCATGCTCTCTCAAAAGATACTCCCCTCCCTGGCTTGTTGGGTCACTTAGGAAAGAACCATCTACATTTTGAGCTACCATGTGACATAACACTTTAAAGGAGTTTCTAATACATGGAAAATGCCTATCAGCAGCATCTGTCAGCAGCACAGGAGGGATGAACCTGTATACAGATGCTCATAAGCTAGTGAGCACTTCACTGAAAGCAGTAAGAGATACGTGTTATTTTCTGTAACCCATCTGACTACAGGACTGCAGTTTCAACCTGTATTTTGCTCTTAACAGAGAGAAGATTCTAGAGATGATTTTGTATTGCTGTCATTTACAAAGGCTTGCATTTAGAAGAGCAAGAAATGCAGATCTTAATTTCTTTAATATGTAGCATTCCTTTAAGTATGTAAAAAACACTTTACACTGGGCAAACTATTTAAACAGGTCTTCCAACCAATGCCTTCATTGTCACCCTCCAAAGTTGCCCTATCTGATAACTGTGGGTACAATTATGCAACTGATACCACCAACAGCTTGGCTGGCTCATGTCTCCAGGTCTCCTCTACAGGCAGTATAAAAAAGGAGAAAACAAAAGAAATAAAATACAAGGATATGTTTCTAGAAGAGAATGTGACCAGAGCACTGAAATTCAGTTTCTGCTGAGCTGCCCTAAAGAAAAGATCCTTTCTCTCTACTGATTGCAAGGACAAGTCAGTTGTCTAAGGAAATCAGCTGGGCCAATCAGAAGCATAAACTTAGGACAACTTAGAACATTCCATTATTGATACTTCTGTCTTTTGAAATAAACTGCAACAGCAGTAAGCTCAGTTAAGGCTTTTTTACAGCTGTCCATTACCAGTGTATTAGGGACACCATCTCGTCTGCAGAGGGGCTACAGCATGTTGTCAATGAACACAAGGTTACAGGAAAGCAGGCTGTGATAAGGCAGATGCAAGGGGTAGAAAACACAGAGGAGGGAAAATTCTCTGCCAGGCAAACATCAAAGATCCAATACTTTCCTGTTGTTATGCTAGAGATGGATCAAAAGAGAGCCACCTCTGGAATTGTATTTAACACTAAAACACACCAAACCCACCCACCGACCCGGGTGAAAGCCCCCAGACACACAGAGCTGCCCACCCACAGCAAACTGCCTCAAGAAGCGCCTCCATCGGTGAATGTTATGTACCCAAGCGCCGCGCGTGCCGCCGGGCTAGCGCGGCAGCAAATGCCCCGGGTGCTCCACAGAGCCCTCCCCACAGGACAGCAAAGGGAGGAAAAAAATTGAAGAGGATCTCAGCAGCCCTTAAAGCTGCTGTCGTGTCTGGAAAAAAAAATCCTAACGCACTGTACCACTCCCACAAAAAAGGGATTGAGCTTGTTCTTATATAAGTATGTATATTATTTAACACTCAAAACCAACAGTTCCATCACATCTATGCGGAACCAGACGTGTTGAAGAGCTGAGAGTGGAAAAAAAACAAAGCAATTTCTACTCTATTGTATCCATCCATTTTGTTTGTTTGTCTCAGGGCAAGTCAAGGGCCCTCAACACATTGCGGAACAAGGACCACTACCTGTTTTCTTTTTCTTCCTTTGTTGTCGCACAGGGTGACTGATGCAAGTAGATGCAAGTATAATTCACACAGTATTTGCATCTATTAGCTGTTATCTCCTAGGACATTATCTTTTGGATCTGGGAAAACGTGATTACAAAACACCTTAAAGTTGAGATAAACAAATGCACACAATCTTGAGGCAAACAATTGTTTCTGCTTTTGCGGTCATCTGAACAAGTTCTGCTCTTCCTTAGATTAAACAAACACATGCCGCCAGGATGCAAGCATTGCTTCTGAGGTAGATGTGAAAGAGAAGGCCTAGGTGTCAAAAATAACTTTCAAATAGATGTTAGTATATTCACATTGCAAAGAACATAAAAGGAGGCAGGAAGCAGGGGAGGGAAGTGTCTCTCTCATATCATATTTAAGTGACAGTACAGTAGCAGTGACTTTTTTTCCCTGAACTGCTCACAGATATGGGACCATTGCATAATCTTCAACATTCTTGTAAATTCTATTAATATCTTTTCTGAACATTACAGGAATTCACAGAATTAAGAGCAAAAATCATTATTTTTTTCCCTGACTTATCACTCTAAAGAAACAGATGTAAAATAGAGCAAGTTTTCCTGTTAAAACAGCTTCGTCCTACTTTATGGACTAGTTATTCCTAACTCTAACCACCTCCCCTCACACAGAATATTATGTAGTGCTAAGAAGCTCCTCCAGTCACCAGCCATGCTTTGCACAGTAGGTATAAACAAGCTGGTTTATTGCAAACAGAAATCCATACACATGCAGAGGAGTGTTAGAGCTGCCACGTGGAAGCAGGTATGCCTGTGTATCTCAAGCTTAAACTCACCTGGGGAAGTAGCACTGGGAGAGGATACCCAAAAGAAGGGAGAAGAGGCACAACTTGGTGTAGAACTGGAAAAAAGAGGGTGAAGGAAATGAATGCATACATTTTTGAAATTTTGCCCTGGTAAAATCTTGCAGGAAGAAGAATTTCAAATGACATTTCTGCAGATACAGGGATAAAAATCTCTAGAGATGCAATGTGAAAAGTTATTTAAAACAAGAACAAATTTAATTTGATAGTCAGCCTTTCAGTCAACTGATTTTCTGCACTCCAGTGAGGGCAACAGGGGAAAAATATTTAAATCTTATAAAGTAATATGGAGTAAGGCATTTTTTGTTTCAGAATGTATTATAATTAAAACCACACAGAAAATATCCTTCAAGGTTACCAACACTCAGTGGCATCTTAAGACAGTCTGCATGACAAGCATGTATCCAATAAGCAAGTAAATTCAGTGCCAACCATATAAAGACAAAAGCAAGTCAGATTCAATTTTACTTGAAGATGTGGCTTTCTAAAATACCACAGAGAAAAGAAAGGCATTCCTGCAGTGAAGAGACAGTTGGGTCTTTGCATGGCATACTTCAAGAGCAGCAACATATAGCCTTTGTTGTATCAAAAACCTTGAACCTTTTCCAAACCATCCTTGTTTTCCTTGTTCTCTGACTTTTCTTTTTTTTTTACCTGATGTCTCTCCTAGTTTTTCATTATATTTCTGATGGCTCTTCACAGTTTCACAACACCATCCTGGAGGACTTTTTAAAAATAAACCCAGAATTTGAATCAACATAGTCCATGTCCAGGCCCCTTTGCTGTTTTTCATACCAATACTGCCTTATCCCAAGCAGTTCCTGCAGCAGATGCAAGCTGTGCTCTCCACCCAGCTTCACTACACAGTTTGTATTCCTGTAAATACCCAGCTCAAGAGAAATAATTATTTCCATTTGAATTTAACTTCCTCTGAAGTGCCTGACGTGTCCTTCACAATCAGTTTTCTTTACCTGGTCAACAGTAATCTACCATAATCTATCATGCAAGTTTCTGAACCTAACTTTAAGAAACCTGAGAGGCCATTAAATGCACCAATCACATTGATGTGTTTTCCTGATTCAAGCCATAGACAGGAACAAAATGCCTAGAAATGCTTTAGTTCACTATCCTGCAGATTGGAAGAAACTTCCTTGCAATTTTGTAGAAAAGCACACTGCAAATTTTCCACACAAGTAAATAGCAATTTAGAAATAACATGCACTGGAAAAATATTGTTGAACACATAAGTAAGTACATGGTAAAAGCATGATACTTCTATGATTTCTGAAATGAAATTCAGTTTAATTTCCAGTCAGATCAGCTTACTGTGCCTCCTCCACAACCTTACCCCCTCACACCACAAGCTTTCAGGACGGAGCTCGTGGTGCTGCTTGGGTGTACAGATGTGCGTGTGTGTCCCTGCACATCTGTGCAGCATCATTTTCAAAGTGTTTCTGAGGAGGCATATGTACTTTTTCCTCAGGGGAAAGCCATGGACTGGAAAGAATAAGCTCTTGCAATATTAAGTTATTTAATACTTCAATGGTGTAACAGATTAAAAAAACCAAACATAAACTGAAACTTACAAAAAGACCTTTTCTTGCAGTGGTTTTAAGGCAGAACCAAAATTCATTTACGTCAATGAAGCCCTGAAAGTGAAATCTGCATAACTGGGTCAGAAACTGTGTCCTGGGGAGAAGAGCTGTTATTCCTTAACTCCTGAGCTTCAGAGAAACTTTAGGAAAGTTTCTTTGCAATGTTTTCTTCAACAGATGTCAAATCATCCTCAGATATTGCCATCTTACCCTAACCCAAACAGAACAGCCGAAAGGGAACCAAACCCCTGCTCACACCCACAGATGCTGGCAGATCAGTGATGTGAGTTACTAAGGCTCCCCACCACTTGCCTTTATAGTGGCAACTTGAAAAAGATAAACTGGCATTACTGGGTAAACTTTGTTCTAGTCAAAAGCCTGGCAAAACCCACACAACAGGCAGGACAGAAACACACATTTGCAAGCCAGGGCAAAACAGCATCTGTGTTAAACACCACAAGGATCGAGGTCTCTACCTTGACACAGAGTAACAGCACTCGGTGGGCTGGTGGCAAGATGGAAGAAGTGTGACATTTCTTGAGGGCTCCAATATTTTTGTAAGACATTTAAAACACAGAGAGATGTCATGGCTTCGAGTGGTATGTATGAAACAAGGCAGGGGAGGAAAAGCTGGGGGACTTGGTACAAAAATGAAACAGCACTTTCCCCACCCCAACACCCAGAAAACCCCCACCACAGTTTTCCTTCAGGTAGAAAATAATAAAGCAGGACAATTTAAAGCTATTTCAAGTAACAGTAAGAAGAAAGAGTTCTCTGCATTCAAAGCAAAATGAGCCTATGTAAAGATTTAGGATGTAACAAAAACCAAGACAAACAAAGGCTGGAGCAAGAGTGTCCTGAAGGTGGAAGAGCTATAGACTTGATGCACACAGCTCAATATTTCTGAGAAAATAAAATTTTCCAAGCCTAATTTCTCCAACAGATAAACACTTCCATACTCTTCTCTTTGCTGTTAATTTGTACTTTTGGCTTGTTAACCTAAGTATGGATTCAAAGAGGCTGGGAATTGCACTTGAAACAATATTTGAAAATATCCTTTTATGTTACTAAGAAAATTAAAGTTTATTAGGGAGAGCATGCACGTAGATTTGAAAGCAGCAGAGAGACATAGAAAATGCATGAGAACAAAACAAACAGCTTTCCAAAAAAAGGGTCAAGGGAGGGATGCCCTCAGCTCTAAAGAAGGATAGCAGTGTATCATATACTCTTGAATGAACTGAAAAACAGGAAGGCAACACCTTCTCTCCCCTCCCCACCAAAAATCTGAACAGCTAAAATCTCACGGACGACAAAACATACAGTTGTTCAAAACCAGAGAAGACTGGAAAGAATTCTAGATGAACCATGCAAGGCCAGACCAAGGGGCAAATTAAATCCACTGCAGATCAATAAAAAGCAAAGTGCATTTAAATGAAAAATGTGAAGCACTCAAAACTGATTGTTGGGTTTAACAGTTCTGGAGTAACTCAATATTTGGATCAAGTGTTTACAAATAAAGGAAACACACTGTTAGATATACAAGGATACAGCTCAGAAATATCAATTTTTTTCCATTTTCAAGACAAAAGCATTCACATGATTATCTAAAGGATAACGTACAAGACTGTTGTGCCACAGCATAAATCAGAAGTGTGTTTTCCATCAGAGTGCTGTGTTCAGCTCTTATCATCTGATCTTTTCTTGAGATAGCAGATGTAGTAAAAGCCTCAGAAAATGGGGACAAGAATAATTTGGAACAAAGACAGATTTCTGTAGAGAAGGAAATGGCGAAGCTTGAAGCAACCACACTAATGGGAGATGGATAAACTATTGAGGATATTAAAAAAAAAGGAATTGTGGTAAAGACAACTGTGCTCCTATATGCTCTTGTCATGCAGAAGCAAAGGCATTTTTAAAACAGCAATACATTTAGAGATGCTAAAAGGAAACGTGTGTTTTTTTAGTTGTTTTGGTTCTGTGGCAGTGCTCTGTTGATCTAGTTTTATTTTGTTTACATTCAACATTCAATTCAATTATATTCAACAATACTTTGCCACAAGCTACAACGATCTCCGAAAGATTCAGAGAAAGACTAGAATTTTACAAAAACTAGTAATCTACTTTAGGTAGGGAAAAGATCAGAAATACCAATCTGTCCTCTATATTTGTAGGAATTAAGATTTTTACGGTACCCAACCAAACTGACAGAAAAGACACAGAATTTCCCCTTCGGGCCTTGAACATAACCACGTCCCTTAGAACAAGGAACACGGTAAGAGTGTCGGATGCAGCCCTGGCAAGCAGCAGGCAAAGGACACACACACAGGTTGCAGAACTGGTCTATTAAGACACCTAATTCTCTACAGAGTAGTATGTCCACACAGTAAGGCAGAGGAATCTGGGAGCAGGAGAACATGTAAAGCTTTGCCACAAGGCTTTCATCCCAGGAATGCTACATGTAGGGTACTTGTGTGCTCTGCTCAGAAGTGGCCTGTGCAATGTTTGGAACAAGAAACTGCTCTGATTTCTCACCACAGAGGACTGACACACTGGAGAAGCTGCTGGGTTGCATCAGGGCAGTGCCATCACAGGGGTCTGGCACAAACCACGTCCTTCAGCCCCCATCCCTCAGCAGTGTTCAGGGAAGTACGTGAGGTATTTACAACAGGAACAAGGTATGTTCGTCTTTAGTACTACAGCGTACACTCCTCACCAACTTATTCCTGACTGTATGAGCCCTGGGTTAGGCATGACAGCATGAGATTTTTTTTTTTTTTTTATATCTAGAAACCACCCCAGAACTAGGTTAGCCTGGCAGGCTTGCAGCACTTCATTTACATATGAGTCAATCCTTCTGCAATACAAACATTAGTGATGCATTCCCCACTGTCCTTCTATTTATACTCACTATTTCACCTGCAGGCATCCCGAGTTAATTAAACAAATCAATCCCATTGAGATAATTGTGTCTCAAGCAAATTAACACAATTAGCCTTATAAAAAGAAAATCCAAGTGCTACTATATTTCTTCATATAAATCATGTGCTTGTTCCTCCATCTCTAGATTTGTGGCTATCTAGGAATCTACATTAAAATGAAAAGTATGACACACCAAACCGGCTGATGTGTGACTGTTACAGCCAAGAGCCGCTCTGTTTGCATCATTCACATCTCTGAAATCTGAGATGCCCATCAGAAATAAATGTTCTAAAGAAGAAATAAGCAAGGAAGGATCTCACTGCAGTGGACACTTCACAGCTTTGAGACAGCCTCTGCTCCCAAACAGTACATTACCTTGACATTTACAACCAGGGCGAGATATGTAGTGAGCTGGTTAATTGGATATATCAGGGGTTTGAGGCACTCTTCTTTCTTCTCCAGTTAGGTTTACAGAAACCCCTCTGAAACAAAGCTGAAGTTCTACAAATGACATCTCAGTACCC